TTTCACATTTCTGAAGAACTTTATTTCTTGGGTGGGGGGGGGGTTTCTAGGTTTAAAAATGTTTTCCTGGGGCCTTCCTACCCCCGGGGAGATTTGGCTGGGGAATGGTTATGTTCTGCTTTCCTTCCGCAGGCTCCTGTTCAGACTTCGGGTGCTGCTGGAGACCAGGGCTTTACCTCCTGATCCACTGATGCTCTCTCTCATATCTCCATCCTGGAGAGTCAGTGACTGGTGGACAGGTCTTGGGTGGGTCATGCTGGGGGCTTTCCTGGACTGTGGCATGAACCTCTCATACAGGCTCCTGTTGGTCCCCGTGGAACCCTCTTTCACCAGTGTCCTGACTGCTAAACAAGCGGCGCCCCTTGCCATGGTCAGTTTGTCTGAAAGCATGTGACGTCATCACACCATTTGAGACTTTGCTCCCCTAGGAGGGAGTCCCCCCCCCCCAGTGAAACAGTGTTGCCTAACGTCAGTGCTGAGCCAGTGAATCGTTTTAATTGCTCGTCCTGCCTGGGGTCACCTCCAGCCTCTCCTGTATTAGAAACCTGCTACCCTGCCTCTGCTCTCGCCCTGTTGCCATGTCTCTAGTTCTTGGGCTTCTCCCTGAGCCCGGTTCCTGCTCCCAGTGCTGTGTCCCTGCCCCGTCTGCCTGCCCCTCACTCCCCCTAGATTTTCTGCTGGTGTTGACTCATGGATGTGATCAGACCTTCATATCACTCCTGCTCTGACGAGTCTGTTTGCTCTGCTACTAAATGGAGGCATTCGTCTTTTTTGCAACATATTAGGTGTGTTGACTTGGCAGAGCTGGGTTACGGCCACAGCGCTGCATGCAACCACTTTGTCAGTCAGGAGTGGGAGCTGGGCTGTGGTGTCCCAAGACTTGACTAAATGTCACTCTGTTTTGTGACAGGCGCACATTACCTCAGGGGAGACTTGGAATGCTGGTGTCTTCCCTCAGACAGTGGCTGACCTGGAGGGGAGGGCGGGGGCGGGGTTGCCGCCCACTCTCAGGTCCACTGGACAGAGGGAAACAGTAGGCTTGGTGCCCATGGCATCTGCTCTCGGGTTGAGGCCATCAGTTCCTGGGAGAGAGGCAGAAGCAGGGGGCTCTCATGCCTGATGGCTGCCTGGTCACCTTCTGGTCATCCTGACTCCTGGGTCACTGTTAGGTATTGGTGGAAGATTTTACTCTGCAGCTTTGCTTTCCAGAGGAGACGCAGGCCATAAAGCGAGGACAGGGGCCTGTGGGTAGGAGGGGGACATCCCACCACTCCTCCTCCCCCTGGAATATCAAATCCCAGTATCAAGTCTGTGTCCTACACCTAAGCTCCTCCCCCATCAATCACAACTGTGGGCCCACCCCCCTGGCTGCCCTTCCCAGCTAAGTTCCTGAGAGATGGTGGCACCATGTGGCATGTAGCCCACTGCCCTCCTTGGACCCCTGCCTGGCTTTCATCCCAGCACACACTCTGGGTTCCTGCCCACCTCGGTAGTGCCCTATAGGGACCTGTCCAAGGGGGGTCTCCTCCACCACGTGGCCTCCCGTGCTCAGCTGG